AAAAGAAGGAATCCTTACCATTTGCAACAGCATGGATGGAACTGGAGAACATTATGCTAAGTGAAATAAGCCAGTCAATGAAAGAAAAATACCACATGATCTCACTCATTTATGGATAATAAAGACCATTATAAACTGATGAGCAAAAATAGATACAGAGGCAGAGCAGCATCGAACAGACTGTCAAACTATAGCAGGAAGGCTGGGGAAGGTCGGAGGGTGGGAAAGGAGGGTAAGAGATCAACCGAAGGACTTGTATGCATGCATATAAGCATAACCAATGGACATAAGACACTGGGGGGTAGGGGAGCCCGGGGGAATGTCAAGGGGAGAAAAAAAAAGGAGACCTATGTAATACTCTTTGTAATACTTTAAGCCAGCCGTGGGCAAACCGGATCCGGCCCGTTTGAAATGAATAAAACTAAAAAAAAAAAGACCGTACCCTTTTATGTAATGATGTTTACTTTGAATTTATATTAGTTCACACAAACACTCCATCCATGCTTTTGTTCCGGCCCTCCGGTCCAGTTTAAGAACCCATTGTGGCCCTCGAGTCAAAAAGTTTGCCCACCCCTGCTTTAAGCAATAAAAAAAAATGTGTATCGGAGAAAAAAATAAAAAGATAAAGTGTGCCTTTAACATTTATGTAAAAAGTTTTTTGTACTCGTTCAATAGAAACTTATCTGGCCACTGGGTAAAGCTAGCAATAAAACTACTGGTCCACAATGTTAATATACCTTGGCCACCTCAACCCTCAGAAAAATAGTCCAATTCTCCTCAGGTTTTTCATACTGAGCTGTTATAAAACATGTAAATTCTATGAGTGTCGAACACATTGGAATTGTATTAGGCATGTTTGTGTGAATATTCATGCAAACAGACTCAAAACAGCTGAAATTCATGTTGGTGCCTCCACGTAACAGACTCAATTTTGGTAATAAGCTTAAAAAGGCATTGGGATAACAGCATCTCTGAAAATTTTATGCTAATTATATATTTTTTAAATTTTGCTGTGCATTTTTTTTTTTACTTTTAAATTTTTAATCAGGAACTGGTAGATATCTTTTAAATCACTAAGTCCAGTTCTCTTGATTACATATGTGATGAACCTAGTGATACATCTTAGAATTTGGGGGAGCTTTTTAAAACTTCAAACATTGCCGAAACCGGTATATAGTACAGTTCAGTTATTCAGGTCAAACTTGAATATGCTAAGGTCTCAGGTTCGATTCCGGTCAAGGGCATGTACCTGGGTTGCGGGCACATCCCCAGTGGGAGATGTGCAGGAGGCAGCTGATGGATGTTTCTCTCTCATCGATGTTTCTAACTCTCTATCTCTCTCCCTTCCTCTCTGTAAAAAATCAATAAAATATATTTAAAAAAAAAAAACTTCAAACATCTAGAAATACTAGTATATAGTACAGTTCAGTTATTCAGATCAAACTTGAATATGCTCAGTTTCTGCAGCAGGGCTTTTGTGCTGCAGCACACTTTGGAAACAAAAGACAAATGAGAACCAAACTGGATTTTTTTTTTTTCCGGTAGAAATAAATGCTGTTGTGGGTTTAATTGTGTCTCCCAAAAAGGTATGTTCCAGCTCTAACCCCTGGCTCCTGTGAATGTGACCTTATTTGGAAATAGGGTCTTGGCAGATGTAATCAAGTTAGGTAGGATGAGGTCATACTGAATTTGGTCAGCCTTAATCCAGTGTCTCCTGTCCTTGAAAGAAGAAGGAAATTTGACTTCTGGGTATTTATCTGAAGGAAATGAAAGCACCATCTTGAAGAGAAATCTGAACCCCTATGTTCGTTGCAGCATTTTTGCAAAAGACAACCGAAGTTGTCTGTCAGTGGATGAATGGATACAGAAAACATGGAACGTTATTCAACCACAGAAAGGAAATCCTGCCTTGTGCAATAACATGGAACTTCAGGACATTGTACTAAGTGAAATAAGTCAGAGAAAGACAAGTTCTGTATGATCTCCCTTATATGTGGAATCTAAAAAATGTTTCATAGAAACGGGTGGTTCCCAGGGTGGGGGAGGTGGGGGAATGTGTGAAGCTGGTCAAAGTATACAACCTTCCAGTTACAAGATGAATAAGATCGGGGAATCTAATGATTCCCAGAAGACTGCATGATGACTAAGGTTAATACTGCATTATACACATATATCAAATCACATCATACACTTCAGTGTTTTGTGCCATGTCTCTCAAAGCAGGGGGCAAATAATAGAGAAAAGGGCGCTTTGGACACACACAATGTCGTGAGACAACAGAGGCATGTATAGGTTGGAGTGATAGGTCTTTAAGCCAAGGGACACCAAGGATTGCCAGCAGCCACCAGAAGCTGGGAGAGGGGCATGGAACAATTCTCTGGAAGGAGCCAACCCTGCTGACCCCTTCACTGCTGATTTCTGGCTTGAACTACAATAATACATTTCTGTTGTTTTAAGGCACTCGGTTTGTGGTAATTTGTTAGGATAGCCGCAGGAAGTGACCAAATGTTAATGTAGAGAATTAAAATCTAGAAATATGACCCCCCTTATAATTTTATAAAATCACTTTTCCCCCTAAGATTGTATAAAAGTATAAAGGGGTGTAGTAAGGCATATCCCACACACAGATACAAATCATGAAGGCATTGTTTAATGCAATTGGAAGGAGAGAAATGCTTTGGCCTCTAGCTAGAGCCTTGAGGTTTTCTTTTGCTCTTTTTTTTTTTTTTTTTTTTTTGGTTAAAAAATATGTTTTTATCAACGTTAGAGAGAGAGGAAGGGAGAGAAGATAGATAGAAACACTGATGAGAGAGACATCCATTGGCGGCCTCCTGCACACCCCCTATTGGGAATTGAGCCCACAGCTGGGCATGTGCCCTGACCAGAAGTTGAAACCTGACCTCCTAGTTCATAGGTTGATGCTCAACCAATGAGCCACACTGGCCAGACCTTTTGCTTTCTAAAAAAAGTTCCTGAAAATGAATGCATTATGCTTACTTTTTTTAAAAAAGAAAAGTTCACAATTCCTTTGCCCACTTCAGTGAAATGCGATAAACACTGACTTTAAAACCTTCCTGTGTTTCACAGATGTTCCCAGAAGACTGTGGGGTTTTTTTAATTGAATGTATAGGGGTGACATTGGTTAATGGTGTATAATTCTATAACACATCAACTGTATATTGTTTATATTGTTTTGGGTGTTCACTACCCCAAGTCAAGTTTCCTTCCATTATCATTTACCCTCCTATATCCTCTTCTACCTCCCTTTACTCTCCTTCCCCTCTGGTAATCACCATGCTGTTGTCTGTGTCTATGGGGTCTTTTTTGCTTAATCACTTCACCCTTTCACCCAGTCCTGCAGCCCCCCTCCCCTCTGACAGCTACCAGTCTGTTCTCTATCAGAGTCTGTTTCTATTTTGTTAGTTTATTTTATTATATTCTACATATGAGTGAAATTATATGGTACTTGTCTTTCTCTGACTGGCTTATTTCACTTAATACTCTCCAGGTCCATTCATGCTGACCCAAAAGATAAGATCTCCTTATTTTTAATGGCCAAGTAATATTCCATTGTGTAAATATACCACAGCTTTTTTATCCACTCATCTACTAATGGGTACCTGGGATGCTTCCAAATGTTGGCTAATGTAAATAATGCTACAATGAACAAAAGACCCCTAACAGCTACAGCAATCTTGAGAAAGAAGTACAAAGTTGGAGGAATCATGCTACCTGGTATCAAAGTATATTACAAGACCATAGTAATCAAAACAGCCTGCTACTGGCATAAAAACAGACATACAGATCAATGGAACAGAATAGAGAACCCAGAAATAAATCCAGGCCTTTATGGTCAATGAATATTTGACAAAGGAATCAAAAACATACAATGGGGTAAAGATAGTCTAAGAGAAATGCTTTGGCCTCTAGCTAGAGCCTTGAGGGGTTTTTTTTTTTTTTTTGCTCATTTTCTTTTTGGTTAAAAAATATGTTTTTTAAGTGAAAAAAAAAAAAAAGAAACTAAACCACCTTCTTACAACATACCCAAGAATAAACTCAAAATAGATAAAAGACTTAAATGTAAGTCATGAAACCATAAAAATCCTAGAGGAAAACATAGGCAGTATTATCCCAGACATTTCTCATAGCAATATTTTCCCCTGTTGGGCAAGGGGAAAAAATAAACAATTGGGCTATATCAAACTCAAGAGTTTTTGCACAGCAAGGGAAAAAAAAAATCAGCAAAATGAAAAGACAGCCACTGAATAGGAGAACATATTCACCAGTGATACATTTGATATTTTTAATATTCAAAATTTATAAAGGACATATAAAACTCAACACCAAACAAACAAACAATGCAATTAAAAATGAGCAAAGGGCCTGAAAAGACTGAGGTTTTAACTATCAAGCTAGGAGCACGTTTTGCCATATCCTGAAATGCAACAAAGAAACTCGGGGAGGCCTCAGGAAACAGCCAGTGCTCTTCTTCCTCAGATGAAGAACCCCACTGGGGTTGGTTCCTTGAATAACAAACACGTGCCCTGCCTCAGCTTGACCAGGGGGGGACTTATTTCACTTAGTATAATGCCCTCAACTTCCTAAAACGGCCTGAGGGTGTCATTTCTAATACAGTATATAGGAGGCAGGAATATAGCTTTTATCTTTTCCTACTTCCACACACAATTCTGGACACTGAGGAGCACAGCTTGCTACTAAAAAACACCACCACACAAGAATGCCCAGCCCCAAGAAGGGTGGTTTGATGTGGACCATCACGTTTCTGGAAACAGACCCAGTGGAGTAGCAGGGAGAGAAGTTCCTTGGACTGAAAAACTCAACTTGGCCAATTTCTGTGTGTGGTGGAGCAGTAATTCCAGCTTCTCTGGAATGACAGATGCTCAGAACGGACGGGGCCGTGTTGGACCCTCGGTCTCTTCTTCTCTGCACGCCGGCAGCCAGTTCCTCAGCTCGAGTTCGCTTGAGGAGGGGACGCTGAGCTAAGTGAAGGTCTGCAGCTTCAGCGGGTAGTCGAAGGCCGGGTTCTTGTAGGCCACCAGGTGCGCGTGGGAGCACTGCCTCCGGCCCCGCCGGCAGAGGCACGCGGACAGCACCAGGGTGCTGACCAGCAGGAGGCCGCCGGCGGCGCACAGCCCCGCGAAGATGAGCACGAAGCTGGGCTTGGTGGTGAAGGAGGCGCACGGCCCCCGGCGGCCCGAGGCCTGCGGCCGGCTCAGCCCGGCCCTGTTGGCCGCCTGCACGCACACGCGGTACGTGGTGCCCGGCGACAGCCCGTACAGCGGGTGCTGCCGAGCCGTGGCGTAGATGTCCCCCACCGCGGACTGGTTGCCCGGCCAGCCCTCCGCAGAGTAGCGCACCTGGTAGCTGCGCACCACCGAGTTGGGGGCGCACCAGCGGACAAGCGCGGACGTGTCTGTGATCTCCGACACCCCCTGCAGCTTGGGAGGGTCTGGGACGGCGTCTTCCTGGCTGAAGCCGGGGCACTGGCACCTCAAGCGCCTCTGCAGCTCCGCGCACGGGGTCTGGAGGTGCTTACAAGGGTGGTAATCGCAGGCCACGCCCTGGGGAGGCGTGCTCACCTTCTCCCCCTTCCCCTCCTCTTCCTCCTCCTCCTCCTCCTCCTCCTCCTCACTGGAGTCGTCCAAAACCAAGACTGGAATTCCATCCTCGGAAGGACTTGGGTGGGGAGCCTGCGGGGTGGCCTGGGTCGTGCCGGGGGATGCTCAGCGGGTTCCGGGAGGCAGGGAGGAGACCACGATGTTTGCTGGTGGTGAGTGGGAGGGAGGCAGCTGAAATATTAGGGTCCAGGACATGCGAGGCAGTAGGTTCGTGCTCTGTCCAGGCCGGGCTTGCAGCGCTGGAGTTCCTGGGACCTGCTGTAGAGACGGTAGTGGAGGCAGCGGCCCCCGCCCCGCCAGCTCGTGAGGGGGTGCTCACAGGGTGGGAGGGGGCCTTGGTGACAGCTTGAGAGGAGGGGGCTGTGCTCAGCAGCGGGGTGAAGGGACCGGGGGTGGAAGGCGTGTGGGTGGAGCCCGCAGAGGAGGGTGGGCTGGAATCACGGAGGGTGGTGCTTTGGTCCCGGGGGCACACACTGGGCAGCTGGGACAGCGCCAGGGGGGCGGGGAAGGCCCCGGGCGATCCTGCGGCTGGTGCGCACACAGTGTCCGCTGCCCTAGGGGAGAGGTCAACCGGTTAGAACAGTGGTTCTCAACCTTCCTAATGCCGCGACCCTTTAATACAGTTCCTCATGTTGTGGTGACCCCCAACCATAAAATTATTTTCGTGGCTACTTCATAACTGTAATTTTGCTACTGTTATGAATCGTAATGTAGATATCTGATATGCAGGACGTATTTTCATTGTTACAAATTGAACATAATTAAAGCATAGTGATTAATCACAAAAGCAATATGTAATTATATGTGTGTTTTCCGATGGTCTTAGGCGACCCCTGTGAAAGGGTCGTTTGACCCCCAAAGGGGTCGCGACCCACAGGTTGAGAACCGCTGGGTTAGAAGGTACTTGGCATTAAGGCCGTTTTCTGCGCTGGCCTTTGAGTGCTCAGTGCAGACAATCCCTCTTGCTTAGCCTTGTCAACAGGAACCCCATGGGACGGGGTAGACATGCATCACCTCACTGACCTCAGGGTGACCTGTGGAGGAGGCTCCCATGAAGCAGAAGAGGAAAGGGAAGCTCAGGTTAGCAGGGCCAGCAAATGGCAGCGCCTAACTGCGGGGGAGCGCCGCGAAGGGCTGTCCAGATTCTCCGAGTGTTCTCACCTGGCTGCCTCCTGGCCACCAGGACTGGTCACAACACTCAGACTGGCTAGCGTTTTCTGAGTGCTTGCCACGTGCCAGGGACTATGGTTAGCACCTTACGTATCAGTGAATTCAATCTGCACCACCTTATGAGGCAGGCACTGTTATCCCCATTTTACAGATGAGGAAGGAGAGGCCCAGACAGGTTAAGTAATGCAGCAAAACAAACAGTGCTAAGTGGGGCGAAGAGCCTGCACGCTCAGCCTCTTCATTAAAACCAAGTGAGACCCTTCGCTGCAAAGGGCCTGGGTGCTTGTCTTTGAAATCAGCATGAAGGGGAGAAGAGGACAGACTGCGCCTCACTTGTTTCCAGGCTTGGGTTGGAGGTGAGAAAAGAATCCCCGCAGGATGGGGGGATGTCTCCCAAGGTAAGCTGGTGGAGCTGGTTTGAGGGAGGTGTTCCCAACCCACATCCTTTTCTGGTGGCCGACCCGGGCATGGCTCCCACTGCAGACAGCTCTTCCAGCTAAGAGCCAACGAGAAGTCTTTGTAGGACTTCTGTCTGTCCCACAGGAGCTCTGTGAGCCTGCTGGCCTTGGACTGAGCGATGGAGGAGGCCAGGCTCCATTTGGGGGGATTCAGGGGAACCCAGCGGTTAAGAGCACAGTTTTGGATGAAGATAGATTCTGTTTCCTCCACCCAGAAGTTGCATGAATCTAAGCAAGTAGCTCCCTTCCTCGGGCCCCAACCAACTCATCTGTAAAATGGAACAATGACAACACTGCTTTGGCAGAGACAAGCCTACTGTTCATTTAGCCCATTTCTTTTTCCTACGTGGCATACAGCTAGACTACATTTTCCCAGCCTCCCTTGCAGTTAAGCGTGGATGTGAATGGAAGTGATGAGCCCTACCTCCTGATCTGGCCCATTAAAACCTCCCATGTCTGTTCCTCCATGCTCCCTGCCCCTCTGCGTTCCTGGATGTGACTGCCTGGGGGCTATCCACCCTGCCCTACATTGCCAACCTGCCCAGCCTGCTCTTGTGAGCCAGACTTCAGCTCTGGGAGGCTGACCCTCACCCCTCAGTCACCGATTTTGTAAATGTGTTACCTGCTTAGGATAGTCCTGTTTACATCCATGAGGAGCCAGGACAACTCACAGCTGCAAGTGAGGGGGTTGCCAAAGAGGTTGATGGATAGAACCTGGGAGGAATGCAGGGTCCAAGGAGGGAAGGAACTCAAGTTGCAGCTGAAATACACAGAAAATAAATTAGGGCAGGCTTTTGCAATCAGGTCAAAACTGTTCCCAGAGTCATAGTGGTGTATGGAAACCCATTCTGTCAGGGATTAGGTGATCTCACTTTGGGCAAAACTCTTAATGACCTTGGACTTTCTTTTTGTCATCCTTTCACAGATGAGGAAACTGCTCTATAAAGGTGTTAAGTAACTTGCCCCAACTCACACAGCTGATAAGTGGTGGAGTCAGGATTGGAGCCCAGGCAGTTTGGCTCCACATCTTTTGCCTTATACACAATGTTGCATCCGTCAAAAGCTCAAAAGGAGATCTGGGACAGAGTTATCACTCATCAACATATCACCACGACCAACATTATTATCACCACTAGAGGCCCAGTGCACAACATTCGTGCACTGCGGGCGGCGGGAGAGGTGTGTGTGTGTGTGTGTGTCCCTCAGCCCAGTCTGCAGCCTTTTGCAATCTGGGAGCGCTCAGGGGATGTCACTGCTGCAGAGGCTCCCACCACCACTGCTGCGCTCGCTGGCCAAGCCGTCAGCCCGGCTTCTGCATTGAGCGTCTGCCCCCTGGTGTCAGTGCACGTCATAGCGACCCGTCATTCCACCATTTAGTCTATTTGCATATTACCCTTTTATTATATAGGATTACCATCACTGTCACCAATACATCACATTACCAGCTTCATTACAATCACCATTGCCACCATCACCAGCACTTTCATCATTACCATTGCCTTTATCACAACCACCATCATCTGCACTAATGTTATAGAGCACACACCGTGTGCCAGGCACAAAGTGCTCTGCATATTCTATCTCCTGTCCCTTTTGACAAGCCCCGAAGTGAAGTACTCTGGTTGGCTCTAGAGCTAGCAGAGAAAAGAGAGAAGTGGTTACTCTGAGAGTGATGATGGGGAAAAGTGCCCACTTCCCAGGTTCCAGTATGGGTTCCCAGGAAAGGAGGTGGCCTGGGGTCATCATCACAGGGACACTGTCCTTCCTGTTAGGAGTCAGGAAGGAGGTGGATATAGTGACACTTCGGACATCAACAGGCCAGAAGACACCAGCCCTGGGTCCTGACCACTAGTAGGACCTTTCTACCCTCTCATCTTTCTTTCTTAGACCCCTGGAAGGGCTGACTCCCCACATAGAGAAGCAGATGGATGGAGAAATAGAGAAGAACCTAATGCCCTCATCCGCTCTTCCACTGCAGGTTTCTCATCTGGGCTTAAAGGAAACCTTACATGCATGAGAGTTTGGGGTTTCAGTATTACTCTGGACAGCACTGAGTTGCATGGTTTTCAGGCTGGATGGACTATCTGGGACCTGCCCAAGATACCATCCAAAGGATGAGAAGAACAAAACCCCAGAGAGGACCCGAAGGAGCCACGGGAAGAAAATTAAAGTCTGGTAAGCTCTATAAGATAGTTACACCGATTCAACATAGGGGAACAGGCAAAATCCATCCATGTGACTCAGAAGCACTTACTTCTGCAGCAGAAGGAGCTGGAGGCGAGGAGTGTCTTGGAAGATGTGTGTCTGGACAGAGGTGAGTGCTAGGGAATCTTGACAATCCAGTTGTTGCAGGTCAGAGGTCATCTTGAAAATGTCCCCCTCCAGGCTCCTCAGCATGGGCATCTTCCTCAGGTAGAGGGACGTGAGCTTGGGCAGGTCTCCCATCCACCTCGGCTGAACTGAAACACAGAGGGGAAACGGCTCACTACCCAGGAAGCCACCAACCTAGGAGGCTGGCAGGGTAGTACGGAAACACCAAGAGTGACAAAGTCAGTTGTGAAGTCATTGCTGAGTATGGACACAGTTGGAAGCTTTAGGAAGCTCAGAACTATGGGCTATATCACCTGAAAGACCAGTCCTTCCTTCCTTTTTAGCTGAAGCAACTGAGGCGAGAGAGGAGAATGATTGGTCCAAGGACACACAGCTGGGAAAGGACAGGGCCAGAACTTGAACCCAGGACACTGTCTCCAACTCTGCCGCTGCCCTGCCCTCTTGCTAAACTCCACACAGAAATACCCCCAACTTCACCCCGATGGCTACCAGGAGTGGGGAAATATTTGAGAAAGGTAAGGAAGGAGGAGAGAAGGGCAAGGTGGAGGAGGCCCTCCTAAACGTGCCCCTTCCCCTCTGTGTCCAGTTCTCGCTCTTGTCTTCCTTTGTCTGTGGTGGGACAGGTGATTACAGACACATGAAGGGTTTTTAAACATAACAAAACCAACCTTGTGAGCCAGAGTCAGAACACACCAAGGAGAGGAGAACTGGTACTCTCACCTCCCTCCTATGTCTTGTTTGAAGGGTCAATAACTGCAGCAGAATTTTAGCCAATCAAGTAGCAGAGTCCCTGAATTCATCCCCAGAGCACACGTTGCTTCACGGAACTGCCTGTTTGCTTCTGATCAGCCCAAAGCAATGCATCCACTCCCCCATTCTACCAGCATCCCCTCACTCTGCTGGGTCGCAGTAGAACCGCGTGGCTGAAGGTTTGGGCTCTGGGCCCAGAATGCCTGGGTTTAAATTTGGAGGCACCACTTAATGAGCTGTGAGACCTCGGGCCAGTCATTCACCTTTCTGAGCCTTGGTTTCCTCATAGGCAGCACCGAGATAATACTGGTAGTTCCCTCCTCTTGGGACTCAAGGAATTAACCCCCGTATGGCGCTTGCAACAGGGTGCACGTGGCTCAGGCAATCTAGGCGGGGTTCTTTATGAGCAGCCCTGTGAGCGACCCCTCCAAGAACCCGGTCCCGGGAGCACCTGTACAGCCGCCTCTGAAAACTCGGGCGCCCAGGACTCACCCTGCTTGAGGAGCGTGCCGCTGAGGTCCAGGACCTCGAGGGAGGCCAGGGGCGCGAAGGCGGCGTCGGCGATGTCCCCCTGGCTCAGCGCGGTGCCGGAGAGGTTGAGCAGACGCAGCGCGGGGAAGCAGGCGAAGGCCCCAGGAGGCAGCGCCGGCAGGGGGTTCCCGGCCAGCTCCAGCGCGCGGAGGCTGCCCAGCGCGGGCCGGGCGCACGGGGGCAGGGCGGCCAGCTGGTTGTAGCTGAGGTCCAGCGTGTGCAGCCCCGCGGGCCAGCCAGGGTCCCAGCGCAGCGCGCCGATGCGGTTGTGGCGCAGCGTGAGCACCTGCAGCTGCGGCAGGTGGCCCAGCTCCGATGCGCTCAGGGCGCTCAGCAGGTTGTGGCTGCCGTCCAGGCTGCGCAGCGCGCGGGGCAGGCAGCCCGGCAGGTGCTCCAGGCTGCGGTTCGCCAGATTCAAGGTCGTGGCCCCCGTGGCGAAGAGCCCCTGGCAGGGCGAGCCCGTGGTGTCGTTGGCCCCGCTTCCCCAGGGGCCCAGCTGAATGAGTCGGAAAAGAGGGACCCTCTCCTGGGGAGGCTCTGCCAGGCTCAGGCGCAGCGCTGTGGGCAGCAGCAGCAGCAGGGCCAACCACATGGTGCGTGGCTGGGGAGAGAATAACGTGACAGCGCATTAAATCCAGAAGAAACACCCCGAAAGAAGGGTAAATGTGCCCCGGGCTTGGAGGAGGAGCACAAGTCCTGGGCGGTCCCCAGCATTACCAGGTGTGCGGTGACTTTGGCCCTGTCATCTCCCCCAGGTGCACCGTGGCACCTCCTGCTCTTCCTTCTCCCAGCCATGCTCTTCCCTCTAATCCCCTCTCATTCTGTGGATGCTCACCCACAGGGACCTCCTGCAGAAGGCCTCCCTCATCCGCCCCATCTGGGCCTGAACCCCCCAGGACCCCTATAACCCTATCCCATGAGCTTCCGGAGGGAAGGGAACTTGCCCTTTATCGCTGTAAACACCCCAGGTGCACAGACGCTGCTACAAACATGCCTATTAATGATGAGCATGGGACTTGAGGAAGATTTTGTCAGTCCTAACAGAACTCAGCTGCACCCATTTTCCCCTTAGATCTGCCCAGCCTCAGAGGTGAGTCCTGCCTTGCATGTGACTCGGTTTGCAGGTCACATTTTAAAATAAGTTTTAGGGTCTCTTTCTTGGGAGGGCCCTCAGGGTTGCCGTCAGGGAAGCAAGGAGCCCCCAGACAGCTGCGATACTTGGAACCTGAATCAAGCCTTTCCTGGTCCTCCTTGGTCCCCACAAAAGCCAAGGCTCCTGAGGTCAGCCATGCCCGGGAAGGGGGGTGGGGGGGAGGCGGAGGGAGGCGGGGGGATGACTGAGAGTCACCAGCTGAGGAGTTTCTGGGGTACCCAGGATTGCACAGGGCAACTGGGAGATCAGGTAGGGGGTACATCAAGCAAAGCTACTTCCAATCAAGCCTTGGCCTTGACGTCACTCCTTGATATTCCCCCATTTCTGTAGCTGCGTCTTCCTGCCCCAGCTACTCTGCTGACCACTAGGTCTCTAGGCAACCGTCTAGACCTCCCTCTTGCTATGTTGGAGTCCAAGCAGTGAGAAAGAGCCGGAAACTGAGGCCAGTAATCCCTGCCTCCAGCAGGGTGTCCTACTCACCAGAAGCTGTCCTTTGGGAGTGTGGCACTCGCCCTTTTGTAGTCTTCACTGTTGTCTTATAGATCCCAGGAGCCAGTGACTTACACAGCAGCTCAACTTTGAATTCCAGAGGGAGGCCTGTTTCCCAGCTGCCCCTGCCCGTGCCCCCACCTGCCCCAGGCACTGAGAGGGCCTGAGATAGCTCGGTCCCTGCACGCCTCTCCTTCCTCACTTTGTGGTCTTTGGCCAACACCCTAAGTGCCTGTCTCCTCCTCCCACTCTGGGACGGGACCAGCCCCTTTCCTGGCCTGGTTCCTCCTCCTAGCCCTCCCCCATCTTCATCTCACCTTACACTGCCTTCCCAGGCCTGAGAAACAGAGGAAGTCAGCTCTCCCTGCCAAGGTGAGGGCTGAGGGCTGATGGTCAGTGAGGCAGAGGTGACCCTGTCACCTCCCAGGAATCTGATCCTCCTGATAGGTGGTTTCCACTTCCTGGGATGCCTGGAGGATGAATGGAGAGCTGCTATGAGAGGAAGCCCCGTGGCCCAAAGGAGGAAGGTACTCTAGTCCATAGGAAGGCCTGCCGAGATTCACAGGGGAAAGTGGCCAGAGAGGGGTCTTCCGAGGAGTCTGGGAGCCGGGGCAGGCTCAAACCGGATCCAGGCGTCTCCAAGAAGAGTTCGTTTGGTTTCTAGGGGGCCCAGTTCAGTGACAGCAGGGAGGTTTGTTTCTCCTAAGAGGTGGGAAAGATACAGATAGAAATGCAGAAAGAACATTTCTGCCTCATGGCAGGGGTCTCTGATCCCCGTCACCAAGAGCCCCAGGTCTCCCTGAAGCCCTGGTGACCTGGCATGAGTTTTGTTTAGAGCAGACAATGCCTTGCTCCCCCTGAGTTCCGAGAAGGGTCATTTTGTCTGAGGGCCTTTGATCTGCACATCCCCGCCCCCAGGCCCAGGGTTAGTCATCCCTGAGTTGTGTACACAGACTCTCAGACCAGAGCTGCAGGGATCTTCCTCCTGTCAGCTCTTATCTGAGCAGCCCTGAGGAAAGGCAGGGCACCTCGGAACTGCAGATGGGGTTAATGGGTAATTGCACATCCCAGGGGATCTCCTGTCTTGGCCTTCTCCACCCAAAGCCTTAAAACCAGGGGTCCTCAAACTACGGCCCGCGGGCCACATGCAAATACAAATATTGTATTTGTTCCCGTTTTGGTTTTTTTACTTCAAAATAAGATATGTGCAGTGTGCATAGGAATTTGTTCATAGTTTTTTTTTAAACTATAGTCCGGCCCTCCAACCGTCTGAGGGACAGTGAACTGGCCCCCTGTTTAAAAAGTTTGAGGACCCCTGCTTAAAACTATCCTTGCAGCCTCAGTGCCAGCGGGGTCCTTGCTGCTCAGATGCTTGGAAACGCGAAATAGACTGACAAATCTCAGAGGGAAAGGGTTCGGGGGAGGGAAGAGATTAACCAAAGAATTTATATGCATGTATGCATTGCCCGTGAACAGTCAGTAGGGTGGTGAAGGCCTGGGGCGAGAACTAGATGGGGAGAGGAGGGGGGAAGGAGAGGGGGACATCTGTAATACTTTCAATAATAAAGATTTTAAAAGAAAGAAGCAGCCCTGACCGGTTTGGCTCAGTGGATAGAGCGTCGGCCTGTGGACTAAAGGGTCCCGGGTTCGATTCCAGTCAAGGGCATTTACCTTGGTTGCGGGCACATCCGCAGTGGGGGGTGTGCAGGAGGCAGCTGGTCGATGTTTCTCTCTCATCGATGTTTCTAACTCTCTATCCCTCTCCCTTCCTCTCTCTAAAAAAATCAATAAAATAGATTAAAAAATAAAAAAAGGAAAGAAAGAAGCATTCCTTCATTGGGCCCAGGCCTGTTCTGTACACACCCCGTCTGGGGCAGCACAGTCACCACACAGGGAGCCCAGGCCCCAGAGGTAGAAACTCTGTGCCATGGATGACACAGGAGGCCAAGTGGGAGGGAGAAGTCAAGGGAACGGTGGGAAGGTGAGGGGACCAGTGTGTGGGCCAGTGGATGGGCTCAGGTGAGGCCCTGACCTCTGCCTTTGCTGGTTCACTGGGCACAGAGAGCACCCAGCAGTCAATTAAAACATCAGCTCATCTCAGCTGGCGCTGGGCCACCTGAGGCCAGCAGGGTGGGGGTTCAGGCAGGGCTGCCCAGGTGAGAGGGAGCCACACCCAGCTGTTTGAACAGAGACCCTGAGGAGGAAGTGAGTGGCCCTCCACAGAGGGCTATAAAAAAGGAACCCAGGGAGGACTGTTGGGTGCTCCTCTGTCACCAGTAGGGGAAGGGGTCTGGAGAGGCCCTGGTTCATTGCCCTGCGCTAGCCCAGAGCCCCAGGCCCTCTGAGCCAACTTCTTGTCTCTGCTGCTGGCTGCCTATCTCACCAATGGTGGCAAGGGCCTGGACTGGTCTGGATCTCCCATGAAGAGGAGCACTGGTCAGGCTTTGGGGAAGGTGGGGGGCAGGGAGCTCCCTCCCCAGAGACACACATCTAAGTCTGTCCCATATTTTTCCCAGAAAAATAAGTGTAGCTGGTGGGGACTGAGTGGACTGGGGTGTAGCTGAGAAGAATGACATACATGCATATAAATTCTTTGGTTAATCTCTTCCCTCCCCCGAACCCTCTCCTTCTGAGATTCGTCAGTCTATTTCGTGTTTCCAAGCATCTGAGCAGCAAGGCCCCCGCTGGCACTGAGACTGCAAGGATAGTTTTAAGGCTTTGGGTGGAGAAGGCCAAGACAGGAGATCCCCTGGGATGTGCATTCTGCTGAACCCCTCAGTCCTCCCCTGGGATGTGCATTCTGCTGAACCCCTCAGTCCCCTCCTCTCCATTCATCCTCCAAGCATCCGGCAGGGTGGCGCCACCATTCCTCTATCTATCTATCTATCTATCTATCCTCACTCTTTTTTTCCATTGATTTTTAGAGAGAGTGGAAGGGAGAGGGAGAGATGGAGAAAGAGAAACATCGATATGAGAGAGACACATCTACTGGTTGCCTCCTGCACACACCCTGACCAGGCCGGGAAACCTGCAACTGAGGTACGTGCCCTTGACCTGGATTGAATCCGGGACCCTTCAGTCTGCAAGACAAGGCTTTATCCACTGAGTCAAACCAGCTAGGGCAGTGATGGCGAACCTTTTGAGCTCGGCGTGTCAGCATTTTGAAAAACCCTAACTTAACTCTGGTGCCGTGTCACATATAGAATTTTTTTGATATTTGCAACCATAGTAAAACAAAGACTTATATTTTTGATATTTATTTTATATATTTAAATGCCATTCAACAAAGAAAAATCAACTAAAAAAATGAGTTTGCGTGTCACCTCTGATACGCGTGTCATAGGTTCGCCATCACTGGGCTAGGGCCATCCCCCTTTTTAAATTGAGTACTTACCACTCAGAGCCTAACATAGAAGCATTATCATATTGATTCCTTACAGGTTCTGACTATTATTCCCAAGCTACAGATAAACTGAGGCTCACAGAGGCTGACCAGTTAGTTTGTAGTTAGTCTGCTTAATCACTGCTTTTACATTGCCTTCCATAGGCTTCAACAGTTCACACTCTAATATTCCCCTTAAGCCCAAGAGTAAACCTTTCCCAAGTATTTAGATCCCAAGAATTGTGGAGAGAAGGGAGGGAAGGCACTGCAGTTGTGTTAATGAGCAGGGCACTCAATCCTGCGGGGACCCTCTGAGAAACTTCAGAGCACACCTGAGGATTGTTTCATCAAGCAGCAAGGAAGTGGGTGTATTTACCCACCAGCTTCTGCCTCTTGTTGGCTTGCCCTTCCTGTGGCTTTAACTCCCTGGCTTGCTCTGAGCATGGATCAAGCTACTCCAGGGAGGTCTAAGGCAGTGGTTCTCAATCGTCTGGCCCTTTAAATACAGTTCCTCATGTTGTGACCCAACCATAAAATTATTTTCCTTGCTACTTCATAACTGTAATGT